TGACTTTTATGCAGAGTGAGAGATAGGGATCTTCTACATGTGGTTTTCAGTTATCCCAGCACCATTTGTTAAAGAGGCTGTCTTTTCTCCAATGTGTTTTTGGCAGCTTTATCAACAATTGGATCATTATAGCTATGGAGATTTGTTTTTGTTCTGTTCTATTGGTCTGTTTGTTTTTGTTTTTGTTTTTTTTTGTTTGTTTGTTTTTTGCCAGTACCTTGCTCTTTTTTGTTGTTGTTCCTATGGCTCCATACTATATATTTTTTTTAAATATTTACTTTTTAATTATAGGTGGACACAATATCTTTATTTTATGTTTATGTGGTGCTGAGGATCTAACCCAGTGCCTCACACATGCTAGGCAAACGCTCTTCCTTTGAGTCACTACCCCAGCCCTGTACTATAATTTGAAATCAGATGCTGTGATTAAGCATTGCTCTTTTAGCTCAGCATTGCTTTTGCTATTCTGCATGTTTAGTTCTTCCACATGAATTTTAAGATTGTTTTTTCTACTTCTGTGTAGAATACCTATATTGGTGGGCATTACATTGACTCTGTAGAACGCTTTTGATAATATGGCAATTTTAACAGTATTAATTCTGCATATCCAAGAGTGTGGGATGTCTTTCAACATTCTAGTGTCTTCTACAATTTCTTTCTTCAGAGTTCTGTAATTTTCATTATAGAGGTCTTTTACCCCATTGGTTAACATCCAAGTATTTCGTTTTTTGAGGTTATTGAGAATGGGATAGTTTTCCTGATTTCTTTCTCAGTAGATTCATTATTGTAGTGTAGGTAAATTATTGATTTTTATATGTTTGTCTTTGTCTTTTTACTTTGCTGAATTTGTTTATCAGCTCTAAAAGTCTTCTGGTGGAGTATTTGGGATATTTTAGATATAGGGTCATGTAATCAGCAAACAAAGATGACTTGTTTTTCTGTTTATATCCCTTTTACTGTCCTTCTCTTGCCTGATTGCTCTGGCTAGTTTCAAGAACTACATTGAATAGGAGTGGTGAGAGTGGACATCCTTTCCTTGATCCTGATTAGAGGAAATGCTTTCAGGTTTTACTTATTCAGTTTGGTGTTGGTTTGGGGTTTGCCATATAAAGACTTTATGATGTTGAGGTAAGTTCCTTCTATTCATATTTTCTTCAGGGTGTTCATCATTAAGGGGTGTTGAATTTTGTTGAGGATCTTTACTACATATATTGAGATGGTCATATGATTTTTGTCCTTGGTTCTATTTATGTGATGTATTACATTTATTGATTTGTGTACTTTGGACCATCCTTACTTTATCACTACATGCCCTTTTGGACAAGTTATTTTACTTTTCCAAGCTTCTAGTTGCTGTGTGTGTGTGTGTGTGTGTGTGTGTGTATGTGTGTGCGCTTGCGCGCGCACCAGGGATTGAACCTAGGGGCACTTAAGCACTGAGCTATATCTGCAGCCCTTTTTATTTTGAAATGGGGTTTCACTTAGTTGCTTAGGGCTCACTAAATTGCTGAGTCTGGCCTTGAACTTGCAGTCCTCCTGCCTCAGCCTCCTGAGCCACTGGGATTACAGGTGTACACCACCACATCCAGCCTAGTTGCTTATCTTTAAATGAGATTCTTACCTCCTTTAGGGGATTGTCATAAGGAATAAATGAAGTAATGGATATAAAAATGATTTTAAAATATTTATCAACTGTATAAATATAAGGAAGTACTAGAAGTAGTAGCTTCCTACACCAAGCCACAGGTGGGTTCCTTTATGTAACTCTCAGCTTCAGTGGGGCTGACAGTAACCAACTCTCATATTTTATTTTATTTTATTAAATATTTATTTAGTTTTTAGTTGTAGTTGCACACAATACCTTTATTTATATGTGGTGCTAAGGATCAAACTCAGGGCCTCACACATGCTAGGTGAGTGCTCTACCACTGAGCCACAATTCCAACCCACCAACTCTGATATTTTAATCAAGACATTTTTCCCCTTTAGGCTTCAGTTTTCTCATCTGTCACAATAAATGTTTCCTAGGTGATCTGAAGATCCTAAGTGTCCTCCATTCACCATTCCTCTATTATTTATTTATAATGCAAGCAACAAAAAAAGAACAGAAGATACTTGTGCCAAAAAAAGACCCATCATAGAAACCCCTTTTAAACTCACAATGAAGTCCCAAAATGGGAGTGAAAGGGCTTTCATTAGCACCTCTTTTCTACTTAGAACCTAGCTCTACTTGCTGATCAGGTAACAATTTAAGAGGTTGCTGCTATTCCTGTGACAGTAAGGAAATAGTTTGGCTAGTAATTTCCTTAGCTTTAAGCCAAATACCTTTCACAAAATGATATATATTATATAGGAGACAGGTTTGGGCATTAAGGAGTTTCCTTATCTACCTGGACTATGGACTATCCCCTTCCAAAATACGATTGCTAAAAATATGTATAGACATATTACAAGTACCCATTAATGCTTACTTATGAATGGTAGCTTATATTTTCATTTAATAAACATTTTATTGAACATCTGCTATATCATAGGCATTATATTAGATACTCTACTTGCATTACCTCTAATTTTCATGTAACCTAGATGTCAGTTGGTGAGCCTGGTAGGGAGGGGGAATTTTTACAGGTGCATCAGGAAGAAGCTTACATTCTTACAATGACCTCTGGTTCTGATCACTTACTTCTTGCTAAATTTCTGTTAAGTTTTTTTTTCTTTTTACAGTTTAAAATAGAAAGATTGCTTATCATCTTGCCATTCTGAACATACTGTTTTTATATTCCACACAGCATCCACCCAGCTGTGAAGCCTAAGCTCTAGTTCAGTTTACACATATATTCACTTGAGGCATTTTTGTATACAGTAGATTTTAGGAAAGGAAGGGAAGGATTTCTTTGCAACAGTACACCATATTAATACTAATTATCTTATATTACCTGGGATATTTTTTTCATTTGGACAGTTTACCCCACATATGACAATCTCTCAATGATTCCTCCCTATTCATAATATTTTCCTCACCTTTTTTATTCTTCCCATACCCCAAATTCACTTCTGATTCAATGATGCATAAGTTTTTAGTGTGAGTTCTCTAAGTGAGCCTTGGACTTGACTTTGAACTTCCAAAGGTTTCTAGATATGTGCCCAGTGAAACAAAGGTGGCTATTCACAGAATCCATCCTCCTTACTAGGCAATAAAGGTTATAAACAGCATTTTCCCCTTAAACCAAATATTTTCAAGTAAATACGCTGAAAGTATTAAGTGAAATGTCTAGAATTACTCATTGAGTAAGTAACAAAATTTTTAATCCAGGTCCATTTGAATTAAATTCCTATGCACTTTCCACCAAATATGTCGCATTTCAAAAAAAGACTTGGAAATAAATTCTGGAGGAGATGTGGAGAAAAAGGAACACTTTTACACTGTCAGTGGGATTGTTAATTAGTACAAATATTATGCAAATCAGTATAGAGTTTCCTGAAAAGACTAGGTATAGAACCACCATATGACCCAGCTATACCACTCCTCAGTACTTATCCTAAAGAATTAAAGTCATCATACTATAGTGACACATGTATAACCATGTTTATAACAGCACAATTCACATTAGCCAAACTATGAACCAGCTGAAGTTGAGTGAATGAATGGAGAGACAAAATGTGGTATATACACAGAGTAGAATTGAGCATGGCAGTGCATGCCTGTAATCCCAGTGACTCAGGAGGCTAAGGCAGGAGGATTGCAAGTTCAAAGCCAGCCTCAGCAACTTAGGCCCTAAGCAACTTAGTGAGACCCTGTCTCAAAAAATAAAAATGGCTGGAGATGTGATTCAGTGGTAAATCACCCCTGGGCTAAATCCCCAGTACTAAAACAAACAAAAAATCCACAATGGAGTTTTATTCAGGCATGAATAAAAATGAAATTATGTCATTTGCAGAAAAATGGCTAGGAATTGAGAACATTATGTTAAGCAAAATAAGCCAAACTCAGAAGGTCAAGGGTTGTATGTTTTCTCTCATATGTGGAAACTACAGAGAAAAAGGAAAAGAAAGGGAGGGCAGGAATCTCATCAAAATCAAAGGGAGATCTGTAGAGGAAAGGGAACAGCAGTGGGAGGTGAGGAGGGAAAGGAGAAATACTAGGGAATGATACTGGCCAAATTGTATTGTGTGCATATAATGTAATATAATGTAACAATGAATCCACTACTATACAATGTACCAATAAAAATGTGGGAAAAAAAAGAAAGGGATCACTTGAGGAACAGAACCTTGACCCACACCTGAGCAGGATCACTGGGATTTGCATGAACATTGTATCTCTGCACCAGCTGTCCTTGATCCACAGATATTGTGTGTATGTAGGAATATGTAACAACAAATCCCACCATTATGTACAACTATAATGTACCAATAAAAATGTGGAGCCAGGCACGGTGGCACACACCTGTAATCCCAGTGGCTCAGGAGGCTTAGGCAGGAGGATTGCCAGTTCAAACCCAGCCTCAGAAAATTAGCAAGGCACTTAGCAACTCAATGAGACCCTGTCTCTAAATAAAATATCAAAAAGGGATGGGGATATGGCTCAGTGGTTGAGCACCCCTGGGTTCAATCCTCGGTACCAAAAGAAAAAAAAAATGAGGGAAAAATTGGAAAATATTTACTTTAAGGTACTCTGCACTTTAAAACACGAAAAATGATTTGGAAATTTATAGCATCTGAATCCATTTGGAATAGGGACATGTAGCTTTATCATCACCATCCCAAAGACACTATTTAATAAAATAGGAAAATGTAATAAGTAAAATAGTTTCAATAATTTGAAAAATGCTGCTTGGTATCAGATAAATGAGGCATTTATTATGGTTAATTAAATTTTATCTTTTAAAATTCATTTGTTCATTGACATTCACCTGATAAATATTAATTAATACACTCTACCTTTTTAAACCATGCATCTTTAAAATTACTTTTACTAATATCTGATTTTTTTATTACAGAGACAATTAAAGGCAGATGCTAAAAAAGCTATTGGAAGGCTTCAACTACGTACACTGAAACAAGGAGACAAGGTGAATTTATTATTTTAAAATGCTGTTTGTTTTAAAGCAATACTAGCAAACCATTGTTCAAACAAAATGTTCTTCCAATATACTTTTCTTTGCCTTTTATGAACCGTATTGGCTTTTTAAAAAGTTGTTTGATGCTGAATAATGTCCACCAAAGATATCTAAGTCCTAATATCTGGAATGTTACCTTATGTGGCAGATATGATTTTGCAGATATGATTAACTCAAGGAAATAAAGACAGGGAGATTATTTTATATTATATGAAGATGTCCTAAATATTATCACAGTGTCCTTATAAGATAGAGGAAGAAAAGGATTTTATTATAGTACAGTAGAACAAGTGACAGTGGAAGCAAGACACTGGAGAGATGTGAGAAAGAGGCCATAAGTCAAGGAATGCAAGCGGCTATTTTTTTTTTAACCATACTAGATATTTACTGAAAAAGGGGGAGAGAAACCCCTATTTTCACATAAAGTCCTATACACAATTGCTCATAGCAGCTTTTTTTGTAATTGCTAAAAAGAACCTGAATGTCCTTCAAATGATGAATGGATAAACTTGGCATACCTATGTCATGGAATACCATTTTGCAATAAAATGAATGTAAGAACCCTATGGATATATACAGCTACATGGATAATCTCAAAAGTATTATGTGAAGTGAAAGAAACAAGACTCAAAGACTAGATAGTACATGATTCTATTTATATGATATTCTGTAAAAGCCCAAAGTGTAGAAACTGGAAAGTGGTTTCCAGGAGCTAGAGGTGAGAGAAAGTATTAATTACTAAGAGGTATGGAGGAATTTGCTAGAGTAATGGCACTATTTTTACTTTGATTGTGGTGGGGAGTAAGTGACTGTGTATGTTTGTCAAAACTTGCAGAACTGTATACTAAAAGACTGTATGTGAATTACTATACCTTAATTTTAAAAAATGGGAAAACAGCTATAGAACTTATGCAAATGATGTTTTATGAAGTCCAAAATCAGGAAAAAGAGTCTAAATCAATGTATATGATCTTATTTGTTCTGTTCCCCTTTTTTGTTGACTTTATGCTTTTACCTTTTTAAGCCCAAATAAATTTAAATCACCTTTTGAAACTTTACATAGTCACTTAGTGATAAAATGCTTCTACATTTATAAGAAGTTATGCTAGTTAAATATATGGACAGTCCAATCTTACTCCAAAGTTTAACTCATTTTTTCTTATCTACCAGAGTAACAATAACTATTTGTTCATAGGAAATTGGTCCTGATGGAGATAGTTGTGCTGTGTGTATTGAATTATATAAACCAAATGATTTGGTGCGCATCTTAACCTGCAAGTAAGTTTGACGTTCTTTTATAACATGAATAAAAAATTGCTGACTCACAAAATGATTGTGATGGGGAAAACTATTTTGAATGTTTCCTAACTGGTGCAGAGAAAGTGTGTATGTTTAACTTATCTTCAATTAAATATAAAGGAGTTTTTTTAATTAATGACACTCTAATCATACCTACTCAGTGGGAGGATCATAAATTTGAGGCTCATCAGACAATTTAGCAAGACCCTGACTCAAAATACAAAATAAAACAAAGGGATGAGGATGCAATTCAGTGAAAAAGCAATCCTGGGTTCAATTGCCAGTACCACAAAAAAAAATAAATAAAACTGAAATTGGTAGAAGTCAAATTGTATACTTTCCACAATCCAGTACAATTTATTCTGAACTGATTTGATACACAACTGAGAATTAGTCAGCAGAACACACACACATATACACACACACACACTTACACACACATACATGCACACACACAAAGGCAATATACTATATTATTTGGTTTTAAATGCATTATAATAATTCCATTGATAAAAAATAAAATAGATTTATAAGCACCAATTTAGAAGTCTTCACTCAAGGTTTTTGTTTGCTTTTTTTAAATTATCCTTTCCTGAAGATTGCTCTTAAGACTCTTACCACTCTTTCTTTTAGCTGTTGAATAGAAGTGTTCTTGGAACATATTATATTCGTTAAAGCTTCAGTATCATGTTGTACACAGTATTTTGTACTGTGTTGTTGAGAACGACTATACCATTTTACAATTAAAGAATTTATAATTTCAATTGTGTAACGTTTGAAATACTGAACAGTCTTAACTCAGGTTGTTAGGCACTTTCAAGTAATGTGTACTGAAAATCGTTTTTGAAACTAAAATAATATGGTTTATATTTAAAAGTACTATATTAAGAAATTTCAATTTTTATTTCTGTGGCTTGTTCTTTGTATTAATAGTGGATTTTTAAAAGGAAAAAAGCATCCATTCAAAGACTAAGTTGTGCTACAGCCTGCTAATAAATGTTAGGCAAAGTGTTGTTGTGTTACATCTTATAACTAAATTATGCATTTTCTCCCGTATTAGCCATATTTTCCATAAGACATGTGTTGACCCATGGCTGTTAGAACATAGGACTTGCCCGATGTGCAAATGTGACATTCTCAAAGCTTTGGGAATTGAGGTAAACATCACTCTTTACCATTTATATTAAGGAACTTAAGCAGTATGTTATTTATGTGCATGAGCATTCAGGAAAATAACAATATTATTTTTAGACATATAGTTTACACCTAAAACTATACATATTTACATCATAGAGATAGTGAGTGAGGTTGCATCTTTGACCATCTCCATTTTCCTTCTTCCTCCCTCTACTCAAATGGACTTACCATTTGGTCAGAATTTGAAGTGATGATCATATAAACTAACAATTTGTCGTCCTCCTTTCTGCTTCCATTATATTATTGCATAGTGACCAAATTTGTTAAATGAGCATGTGTAATTTGAAAAAAATATGTAATAGATAATAAATTATAATTTCATATTTGTTAAGTGAAAAAAACTTTTTTAAGGTAAAATAAAAATCAAGCTCAATAAAATCTTCATAACTTGTAGAGATATGTGGATAACAGCACTTCTCATTTCTATTAGGGGATAGCATGATACATATATAGATACAGATACATAGGTATTTTTAAGTGCCCATGTGGTATCAGGCATTATGTTATGAGGTGACGGGATCATTCAAATGAACATCAGATGTGCAGCCCCCATTGGTGGACCCAATTACTGCTCTGACTGGGGCCAGCAAGAGGGGGATTTTTCTTATAATTATTTTTTAGTTCGGTGTTTGTTGTTGTTGTTGTTGTTGTTGTTGTTGTTATTGTTGCTGCTGTAACTAAAAGGACCCAACCAGAACAACTGTAAAGGAGGAAAAGTTTATTTGAGGGCTCATGGTTTCAGAGGTCTCAATCCATAGACAGCAGGCTTTGTTCCTCAGGTCTCTAGGCGAGGCAGAACAACATGGTAGAAGAATGTGGCATAGGGAAACAGCTTACATGATGGTCTGGAAGCAGAGAGAGCTCTCCATTATATTATTTGCCAAATACAAATATAAACCCCAAAGTCATGCCCCTAATGCCCCAACTCCTTTAGCCGCACCCCACCTGCCTTCAGTTACTAAATTATTCCAATCAGGGATTAGTTTGCTGATAAGGCTCTCACAACCTGATCATTTCTCCTTTAAACCCGCTCGCATTGTCTCACATGTGAGCTTTAGGGGGATGCCTCACACCCAAATCATAACAATTATCAAAAGATATTATAGGTTAAAAGGTTATGAAACATTGTTCTAATGAGTCACTTATGAAGAAATTTTATAATGACGTATGAAGGAAAGTATGTACTCTGATAATCTTAACTTGTTCAAATGCTTTCCAAAGGTGGATGTTGAAGATGGATCAGTTTCCTTACAAGTCCCTGTATCCAATGACGCATCCAATAGTGCCTCTCCCCATGAAGAGGATAATCGTAGTGAGACTGCGTCATCTGGATATGCTTCAGTTCAAGGAACAGATGAACCACCCCTGGAGGAACATGTGCAGTCAGCAAGTAAGCACCATACTGAAAGGCAACAAATGACTCACAGATGATCCACTTTGGATCATATGTTCATCTGAGTGCTCCTACATTTTAACATTTGTTTCATTCACCCATTAACAAATTTCAGGTTTTTTTCTTCTTAAAATGATGCAAGGAAGAATGCACTCCTGCCTTAATTAATGTATATACAAATTCAAAAGCCCCTGAAATAGATGAAATGCATCAGAATTGAGTATTATTCACAAAAAAGGGAAACATCCCTCTGACCCATTGAAATATGTACTTATTAACTACTTACTGAGGCTAAGGAGTTCATTTTAACTTTAAATTTTAGAAGGCATTGTTTGTCAGGCATCCTGGCAACAACTTGGGAGGCTGAGGCAGGAGGCTTACAAGTTGGGAGGCCTGCCTCAGTAACTTAGCAATACTCTAAGCAACTTAGTGACACTCTTGTCTCTAAAATAAAATAAAAAGGGCTGGGGATGTGGCTCAGTAGTTAAGGTTCTGGGGGTTTGATCCCAGGTATCAAAAATAAAACTAGAAGCCATTGCTTATTACAGACAAATCAGAAAGTATGATAAAGGAATCCTGAAATGATAAAATGGAATCTGATTTACTGAAGCTCAATTTATATCCAACTTCTCAGAAACCATCTTTTGTAGATTGTTTAAGATGGTATGTGCTGCCACCTGTTGACTGTGTACCGTGAAATGAATAAACTTAGAAACTAAATTTGATTATTATATTCGGAATTCATGTGAACTGGTATTGTAACTTAGCAGTTTTATATACCAATGGAAAAAATTTAGAGAATTTTGTTACTTTTTCCCCTATAAAGAGAAAAGACACCTATAAAAACTATTTCCCCTTGTTTAAACTCAAACTTTTTCTTGTTTTCTGTTGGTTTGAAAGTTTTTCCAGGGCTGGGGTTGTAGCTCAGTGGTAGTGCACTTGCCTCACATGTGTGAGGCACTGGGTTCAATCCTCAGCACCACATAAAAGAAGTTAATAAAGTAAAAATAGTGTGTCCATCTACAACTAAAAAATATCTTAAAAAAAAAAAAACAAGTTTTTCCAGCTAGGCACAGTGACACACACCTGTAATCCCAGCAGCTCAGGAGGCTGAGAAAGGAGGATCGTGAGTTCAAAGCCAGCCTCAGCAATGGTGAGGTGCTAAGCAACTCCATGAGACCCTGTCTCTAAATAAAATACAAAATAGGGCTGGGGATGTGGCTCAGTGGTTGAGTGCCCCTGAGTGCAATCCTTGATACCAAAAAAAAAAGATTTTCCACAATTATTATTTTGAGATAATCTAATTTTAGCATAAATGTAGAAGAAAAAGATGGCTTGTGAAAATTTCAGCTTCCTCTGACAAAAACCTTTGCCCTCTGTAGGCTTATCAGTGCCATACATATCATTTCTGAAAAAGTCATGAGGGATACTACCATGCAAAAGCAAAGCTTATATTTCTTGTAATCTAGTCTTCAGACATTTCTTTGAGTATAAGTCATGAGAATCTTAATAATCTATTGATTACTCTAGCTATAATAGAGAACTACAGTCTATTTGTCCAGATGATGTTGTGTTCCTATAATTATGTGTAACCGAATTCAGTGAAGATAAAAGAGAGTGAACACGATAATTCCACCTATGCTGAGGTTCAAAAAAATTTCCAAGCTCCTTGTGTGTTCTGTTCTGTTCTTGTGGGGGTGGGATAGGGAATGGGTTAAACTGATTTTGCAGAGAATTTGAAAAGCAAATGAAATAATGATCCATATTCCTCCTATAATCCTTTCCTGAATGAATAATGGTAACAACCATGCAGGTGTCCCAAACAAGAAATTGAGGATACCCTAGATTCTTCCTGCTGTCCATTCCTATTGATTCAGTATCCTTTTTTCTGATTCTTTTCCTGAATTTCCAACCTTAATTCCACAGAGTTTGAGCCATTATCTTTGCCCATCCCTGCTACTCCTCTCCCAATAAATTTGGTTTGTATGCAAGGCCCTCCTATCGTTTCCATAGGATTTCTGTCACTTTATTTATTGTACAGAATTTTATTACAAATGTTTAAAGTTCCTTTGGGTAGGGAGAGTGTTTGTTCAGCAACTTAAAATACAGCCTGCTAGAATAGTAAACACAGAGATTTGTGTTGAATAAGGGACAACTTTGAATAGATTCAATTCTGTTTATGGTTATATATTACTAGTTTGGGAATCTTACATATTAGCTATTGTTTCTTGTGATAGTTGATTTGCAAAACTTTGTAAGCACATTCATTCCTATCTGTGTGTCAAATCATTTGGCAAAGTTCTATTAAAATAATGAAGTAAGGGGGAGCCAGGCATGGTGGTGTACACCTGTAATCCTAGCAATTTGGGAGGCTGAAGCAGGAGGATCTCAAGTTCAAGGATGGCCTTAGCAACTTAGCAAGACCCTAAGCAACTTAGTGAGACCTTGTTTCAAAATAAAAATTATAAAAGGCTAAGGATGTAGTTCAGTGGTTAAGAATCTCTGGGTTCAATCCCCATTTCCAAACAAACAAATAAAATACTGCTCTTCAAATTTAAGTACTCATCAAGTCACCTGGTGGGCTTGTTAAAAACAGAGAGCCCACCACCAGAATTTCTGACTCAGTGGGCCTGGGATAGTACTTGACAGTGAATTTCTAATAAGTTTCCAAATGATACTGATACTGCTGGTCCGGGGATCACACTTTGGGAATGATGGAGTAAGACTCCTAGTTGTCAACCCTGGCTACACATAGGAATCACTTGGAGATATTTTAAACATTACTGATGCCTAGGCTGTACCTCAGAGCAGTTAAATCAGAATCTATAAAGAATGGGGCCAAAGTACAGGTATTTTTTTATTTTAATTTGAAATAATTTTAGATTAGCTGACAGAAAAAATGTTTGAAACATCATTTGAAGAATACTCATATGCCCAGTTTCCTCACATGTTAACATCTTACATAATTGTATATAGTCATCCAATCCAGAAAGTTAATGGATGAAATATTATTACCTAAAATAAAGACCAACCTTACTCAAATTTCAACAGACCCATAAATGTCCCTTTTCTGTCCCAAAATCCTATATTACATTTAATCTCCTACCTCCTTAATCTCCAGTCTGTAATGGTTCTTTGTTTTTGTCTTTCATGGCATTGACACTTTCAAAAACTACCTATCAGTTTTTTTGCAGAATGTCCATCAATTTAGGCTTATCTGCTATTTTCTGATGATTAAATCCATTGTCCATTTCTGGTAAGAATAATAGTGAAGTTATGTTGTGTGCTTCTCAATGACCCAAATTATAAAGCACATGATATTCTTATTACTAATGATTTTAACTTTGCTTAAAAGTAGTGTCTGCCAAATTTCTCTCTTTAATATTACTATTTTCCCTTCATAATTATTTAATATCTTATGGAGACACACCTGGAAACTATGCAGATATTCTGTTTCTCATGATTCCTTTACCTACTAATTTTAGCAATCATCATTGCTTCTTGCTTGCAATAATTACTACTGAAGTGTTTGCCGAGTAATGATTTTCTATTTTCATCATTTTTCTACATTTATTAATTAACTTTATAATTAGGTCATTATTCTTTCTCTGTTTATTTATTTAATCATTTATTTGTAGTATTATAATGTAGGTATTTTTTCAACCTATATTATTCTCATGATTTGTCTATTGTCCATATCATCCTAGATTTGGTCATTGGGAACTTGTTTAAGTTAGGTTCATTGCTCTTTCTTTTTTATTTATTTTATTTTGGTATTGGGTATTGAACCTAGGGGGGCTTTACCACTGAGCAATACCCTCCAGTCCTGCTTATTTTTTATTTTGAGATAGGGTCTCACTAAGGTGCTTAGAGTTCTACTAAGTTGTCAAGGCTGGCCCCAAAGTTGTGATCATCCTGCCTCAGCCTCCCAAGTTGTTGGAATTACAGGCATGCACCACTTCCCCTGGCTTCATTGATCTTTTTTTAATAATAATTTTTTAGTTTAGGTGGACACAATTTCTTTATTTTATTGTTTTTTTTTTAATGTGGTGCTGAGAATTGAACCCAGTGCCTCATGCATACTAAGCAAGCGCTCTACCACTGAGCCACAACCCCAGCTCTTCATGGATCTTTGAACTTCCTTACTGTTTGCTATTTCTGGATGTTCTAGATCTGTTGTGGGCATTGTTTTTTCTGTAAAGGGCTATATAGTAAATATTTTATGCTCTGAAAGCCATAAATCTCTGTTACGTATTCTTTTTTTGTGTGTAATTTCAGGAGAGGGATTGGATTATCTTGAAATCTTTTTTAAAATGTAAAAATCACTCTTAGCTATGCATTTGGCTTTGTGGGCTATAGTTTGCTGATCCATAGGCTAGACTCTTAGTTATTCTTATACACTGTCTGTCCTAGCCCTAGAATTGGCCATTTCTTCAGAGGTCCTTTTATTGGAGACCCACATTGCAAAACCAAGTTCTGGGCACTAAGCATGTTTATTGCTACTATGGTGTTATTTTTATTGTCCCTTTCATTGAATAAGGCTAGGAAATACATGTATTTACTCACACAAATATAAACATACACATATCTATCTATCTATCTATCTATCTATCTATCTATCATCTGTCTGAGAAACAATGAGCTCATCCTGATACATCTGATTCCATTCTAAAACTTCAGGGTTCATCTAGCTTCTCCATTTCTTTATTTGTAATTCCTTCCTCTGACAGTGAAAGAAAGCCTGTCCTAGTTCAAAATATATTTACTTATTTTTTTAGTTCTAGAATACAAATAGTTTCAGCATTGCTTATTTATACCTTTCTGTAAAACAATTCACTGACTTGTATACTGTTCTTTTTGTTTTAAACCTAATAGGATGAAGTCAAAGTACTCTTTTCCAAAGTTTTTTAGGTATAGTTATTTTTTGTCCCACCCACATTAGATGGTTATATATTTCATTTACAATATAATTAGTTCCATTTGTTACTATTTATATTCCACTGTGGGCACCCCCAACTTATTGGTTGAGTTAAAACATCTATATTACTTTATGTATATGAAGACACATTGGTGGCCGGGGGTATAGTTCAGTGGTAAATATCTTACCTAATATGTGTGAGCTCATGGGATTGATTTACACTATCACCACACACACACACACACACAAAAAAAAAAGATTCAATAATTTTTAGTAGTCCCTAATTGCTAACAATATGCAATCAGGTTTAAGAACTGTTGTGTTTAGTGTAGAAAAGAAATAAAAGATGTAACTTTTCCTCTTAAGGAGGCTATAATCTAGATATAAATTAAACACAGATACACGAATCAAAATAAATAATTATAAATCAACATAATAATGCTGTATACATGCTTTATGTAGAACATAGCATTAATCAATAATCACTAGAGGAGCAGAGAGAGAGTGTAACAACCAGAGTATAATTGAATTAAATAAGAAAGGCTCCTTGGAAAAGAATGTTTAATTTTGTCTTAATAGAAGGGTGAGGTTGTCCTAAAATATCATTTCTTTTCAAAGATGAAAATCTACAGCTGGTAAACCATGAAGCAAGTTCTGTGGCAGTGGATGTAGTTCCTCATGTTGACAACCCAACCTTTGAAGAAGATGAAACTCCTGATCAAGAAACTGCTGTGCGAGAGATTAAATCATAAAATCTGTGTAAATAGAAAATTTGAACCTTTAGTAATAACAGGACTGCCAATCAGGACTTAGTTTACTATTAATGAACTGGATAAACCTAATAAAGTAAGAATGATATTGAAAGTGCTGAGATGACTAATATTATACTATAGTTAAATGGCTTAAAATATTTAACCTATTAACTTTTTTCCACAAACTCATTATAATGTTTTTCATAGGCAAGTTTCCTCTCACTAAAATAGTGATAGCAACATTTTTAAACATTCAAACCTGTCTTCAAGTAATCATGTTTTTCATTTATAACAATTTTCTTATAAAAATATATTGCTTTTAAAATGTGGAGTAGCTATAATCACTTTATTTTATGATAGCATCTTAATTAAAATAATACTACTTTAGCTTGGGCTATATGTGTCAGGGTTTTTCCTCCAGGTGCTTATATTGATCTGGAATTTTAATGTAAAAAGCAATGCAAATTTAGGCTAGTACTTCATGAAATGTCTATTTAAAATCATTAAGTTGATAGAGCAAAATTAAAGCAAAATATTCATTTTAACTTTTTATTCTTTTTAAAATTAAGCTAAATGTACTTCATGAGAGTATCAAGCATAGTTTATCAGAGAATGTGGATTGAATTTGTTGATTGATCGATTGATATATTGTGACACCAATTGGCACAAGATTATAGAGGTTTCTTACAGAAATATTGCATAACTATTTCTCAAACTTCTAGCATTTTCAAAAGCACAGTATGTAAACCACCATACTATTTGAAAATGTTAATGACAGTAAGTCACACAAAAATTGTTGATTGACTTGTGCATGAATTAGTCTACAGAAAATGTCTGTAAAATTAATCTATAGAAAATGTTTTCCAAACAATGTTAACTTTGACAATTGAGTTTACATTTGGCCTAATGGGCTAAAATTACATTAAACAAAAATTCTGTCCATATAGCTATAATTTTTGTGAATTCTTGGTGTTTGAAAAAGAATTGATGGGGAGGGGGGACTTCCAGGTGCCTTAATACAAAGTTTGAAGCTTCATCCACCAAAGTTAAATAGAGCTATTTAAAAATGCACTTTATTTGTATTCTGTGTGGCTTGTCTTTTCTTTTCGTTTTGTTTCCAGTGCAAATTCCAGCATAATTTAGACAAAAATAGAACAGACATGTATTTTTTTTTGCTGAATGTAGAATGAAAACATTGCATTCTTGTACACTGATTTGAAATGCTGTAAATATATCCCAATTTGTATTGATTCTCTTTAAATATAAAATGTAAATAAAATATTCCAATAAAAGTTTGTGTCTGGTATTTAATTTAGCTATCATATACTAACTTTTCATATATAATATGCATGCGTTTTAGAAGAATTTGTTGGATGTAAATGGCCCAAAACTAAAACTTATAATGTATATTTACATATTTTATTACATAGAATGTATGTGTTGTAATTATAATATCACTGAACTAACAATGAATTTTTAGACATTAGCAAAGTCAATAATGAAGTTAAGCATGAGAAGAAGACTGCCACTAAATAGGGAAGAGAGGTGAGAGGGAAAAAGAGGGAGAAGGGGAGTTGCACAGAAGATGGGAGGAGAACCTCATTGTTATACAGAATACATATATGATGTTGTAATGAGAAAAATTTTAAAAAGTGTGTCACATTAGATTGGATAGACAGAAAGGATGGGAGAGGAGGGGAGGAGTAGGGAGGATAGGAAGGGCAGCAGAATAGAATAGACAATATGATTGATGTATTTACATTCCATGTATGTATTATATATC